TCAAAAGGAAGAGATCCCCTTCACACCAGAAGCATGATCTCCAAGAGTACATACTGCTAAAAATGCCATTCTTTGGGGCCATGGGTGTAGTTCAGTGGTAGAGTAATGGCCTAGCATGTATAAAACCCTGGGTGCCATTGCAACACTGCTAAAAAAAAAGGAAAAATTAACACTGTTTGAAAATCTTACCTTTGGATAGTTTAGGATAAACCACTTTCTTTCTTCCCTATGTTTCCTACAAAGAGAACATATGATACAATAAATATAAAGATTCCTTCAAAAGGAATCAGGGAGAAAATTGTGAGTGGTCCAAAAAAGAAGAAATATTATAAAAATCTGGTAGTGGGATTTCTTTTAAGAATGTGGAAACAAAATGCTGCTTTTTCGGGTCCTTTATCGGGTTCATTAACTTTCGTCTTCTGTGTTTTCATGGAAATACATAATTTAGGAGATGGACCACTTGTTCCTGTTCAGTTTCTTTGTTCTGTCTCCAACCCTCCAGAAAAGCAAAGATGTGGGCAGATTTTAGAAATGCGTGAGGGGCTGCAGGGATCTCTACGGGATACAGAACAGCAACCCCTAACTGTTCACATTCCTAAAAAAAGATTGATTTCATTTTTTTACAATAATTAAAAGAGAAATGGAAAGAGAAATCTGAGTGGTTTCAAAAGAGATACTGAGAATAGATTTTAGAGGCCGCTTGTAAATTCCCTGCAATTCAATTACCATGATGGAGATCAGGCCAGGATATATTGTTACTGTACTCTAGGAAAGGTCAGTGGGCTGCACTGCAGGACCTCAGCTCCTGTTTGGTCACAAATAAAATACAGATAAAGACTCAGGACTCCACATGTTTGCAGCTGCTATAAGCTAATTTTCTAGGATAGCATCAAATAGCCAAAGATGACTAAATTTAATGTTCCCTTGATAGTGTAAGTTATGTCTTTGAGGAGACAGTCTGAGCCTAATATCTAATACCAAAGATAGAATGAAATCCTGGAAAGTAAATTTAAAAATCATGCCTGGGAAGAAAGAGCAAAAATATTCAGCTGCAGCCATTACATTTACGGACAAAAATCATGAGCTGAAGTCTTAGAAAAATTAGATTACACAGAGTTTCTAAGTACTTTACCGAATTACTTTTTCCCATGCAAATTATCCAACGATCTGGTATCTGTAAAATTCTGTCGCGCTCGATGGATATTAAACTGCTGGCTGGGATGATGCCCTGGCCGTAGAAATCACGGCGGAGGGTGGGCCTACCGCGGGTACTGGATTCGGGGAAGACGGAGTAACCCAGGCCAACGCGACTGGCTTGCAAAGGAGCGGCGGCGGCTGAGAAAGAAGCGCCTGGAAGAACTGGAATCCATGTCCAGCCCGCTCTTCCCAGCTGGCGATGTAAAACACGGATTATACTTTGTTTTGTTCTTTGAGCCCTCCAAGCTCAGTTTCTTTGTCTGCAGCCCGCCCCGAGGCACGGCGCCCATCTTAGAGGGCTGTTCTGGAGACCTCCACGTGTGGGAACCGAAACTCACCACGCGTGGTAGTATTTACCCCACTGAGGCCTCAGAAAGCCCTACTTACACCGGACGAGGTACCGTGGCCTAGGATGGCTTGGCGCGGCGGTGCGTGTCATCCCTCGGAAGGGCGGGTCCCCAGCACCGCTTGGGCAGCTGGGGCGAGCAGGGTGGGGGAGGGGCGGAGGGCCTCCCACGGGCGACGGAGTGCGCGGCTGGGGACGCGCGGGAGGGACGGCGGGACTCGCCAGCCCAGCCTCCCAGCCTCGCCTGCGCCCAGAGCTCAGCTCCGCCGGGCTACTCGGGTCCCAAGTCGCCGCGGGAGCGCAGACCACGCCGCCCCGCTGGGCGGGACCCGGGAGAGCGAGAGGCGCTTTCTCTCCCACGGGTTCGAGTGGCAGCCAGGCAGCTTGTTTTGCCTGGAACAGTGTACAGCTCTACGTGCTTGCTGTAAAATTCTCATCTAACTAAATACCAACTAAAGAAAAAGGAGTTCAAAAAATCATCTGTTATCTCACCACCAAAACCAAAACCCGGATTGGATTTTGTTTTGGTATAAACGGATACAAGCGCGCGCATAGACCGAGGCCTGCGAGACGCGTCCACGAGCCCCCAACCCGCGAACAGAGGGTGCGCGCGCCGGACCTGGGGCGGACAGCGGTCACCGAGGTCGCGGTGCGCAGTGCTCGGCTCCCTCCACCTAGGAGGAGCGAGAAAGCAAGCGCGGGCACAGCCGCCACGCAGGCTACTGAGCCGGCCTCACTTCAATGGGCGAGAGCAGGGGAGGCCGGGCCCCACGTTCAGATGCTCCCTCAGCCTGGTTTCTGTGAGTCGCTCCAGAGACTGTACCTGATACTCTCGCATATAGACACTGCACCTGTAGGGACTTTACGCTCCGTCCCCAGGAGGGGCCCCAGAACCTGCTCACCCCCTGGTTGGTCTTCTTACCTCTGGGCCTCCTCTTGCAACGTTCGTTTTCTTTCCCTAGGACTGCAGCAGAGGAAGCGCTCTTCAGCCCCAAACTCTTGATTCTAGTACATTAAGACCCTTCCCTAGGGTGACAGCCCTTCTGGCTTAGCCTTCATGGAAGAGTTCCAGGTGAACACGGAGAAATCCATAGATTCAGCGTTTGTAAGACAACATTCCTGCTGAATATGAAACATACTATTTGTAACCTTTGTATATTTTGACACTATATGGTCACTCCTCCGCATGGATACCAAAATCCTACTATGCTCAAGTTCCTTATAGAAAATGGTGTGGCATACTTAGAACCTATGAATAACCTTCCATAAACTTCAAATCATTTCTTGGAGGACTTATAATACCAAATGCAATGTAAATGCTATGCTAATAGTGTTACTCCATGTGATTTAGGGAATACTAACAAGAACATACTCAGTAAAGTGTTTTTTCCGAGTTTGGAACCCGGGAGTAGGAAGGGCCAATTGTCCCTTAATGCAATGGGAATGGAAAGAAGTACAATAAACCCTCGTTAGCTTTCGTTCTACCACTTTATACTTTCGCAATGTAAAGTTTTATTTTATCAGAATGAGTCAGATAAAAATAATTTTATAAATGCTTTGTTTTAGGTGAAATTGGTGATCTAGCTTGTTAATTTTATTTTTTAAAATTTCTATCCAGACGGTGGTGCATTGCCTGTAATTCCAGCTTCTCAGGAGGTGAGGACGGAGGATCCTAAGTTCAAGGTCAGCCCTGGAAAGGCTAGCAAGAGCCTGTCTCAGAAACAAAGTAAACAGTGAAGGGCTAGGAGTGGGGCCCAAGTAGTAGAGCTCTAAGTGTGAGGCCCTGGGGTCAGTCCCATACAGAAAAAATATATATTCTAATTAAACAATGATGGAAACTAACATCATGGAATTTCTTCACTTAATTGTTTATTTGGGGATAAAATAATTCTATTTTTAAAAATTATGGAAAGGTCCTCTGACCACAGTTCAGATTTTTTTTTTTTGGCAGTACTAGGGTTTGAACCCAGGGTCTCATGCTTGCTAGGTAGGTACTCTACCACTTGGCCGGCCCCAGATGTTTTTTATTAAGGCCAAACATCACTTTTGATTCCTCCATCTCCGTTACTCCTTCCACTACTGACCAGATGACAAGGTTTGTGGACTGTACCCTCCAGCCTGTGGCTCAGCCTTGTCCCTCCCTTCCTGATGCCCAACCCTGGCCAGGTGTCCATCACCACAGGCCCTCACAACCATGACAGCTTCCTAACCAGTGGTCAGCTCCAGGCTGTCTCCTCCAGACCATTTCCATCTGCCCAATAACCTCTCTAGAACATTCCCTAGCTTATACACAGTCCTGGGTTAATTAGAGGATGAGCTCCACCTTCTTTTTCTTATTGTTGTTTGGGTTTTTTTGTTTTGTTTTGTTTTTGGTGGTACTGGGGTCTGTCTTCCAATGCCTGGCCTCAGGTGACATTTAAATAACTGTGCTTGTGTTGCTTATGAAATACACTTGTGTCATAAAATCATCTCTACTAAAGAACTCCTGTGCAAACATGGGGTTTTTCTGTAATTCAGAGGTAATCTATAGAGAAGTTTACCCTCGTATTAACTTTGTTTAACAAAAAAAAGTTGTCTAAGCAAATGAACATTGTAAATAGAATTTCAAGAAATGCTGAATCTCTTGAATAAAATTCATTAAGAATTTCAGAAACCAAAATATGCATATCACCTTTGTTTATTCATGAGTTCAGGGAAGACTCCTGCACTACCCCCTTAAGGTTAAGACAACCCATTTCCAGGCATCTTCTGAGCCTATGGGCAAAAATGTCCTCTGATTTACCTTTGTAGTGTCGGTTCCAACCCAGGGCCACCATCAGCCTTTGTACAGATTAGGAAAAGGTGACCCTTCCTGTGGAGAAAGCCCTTGGATGAGCTTGAACACATTCCAGTTCCTACCCTCCTCCTTCACCATGAGCTCCTGAAGTGGACAATAGAAGATGGTCTGTTCCTGTCACTGGGCCTGGCTGAGTCGAGGTACTTCATAAGCATTGGTGGAGTTGTGATAAAATTATTTTAAAAAATTCTTTCCTCAGCAATTTTTATTTAGTATGTGGACCAGACTTGGAGCTCTTACCATGAGCCATTCCTGATTCTGCTTGTGTCTCAAGCACATGCATAGAAACTATTATTTACCAGCATTCAGGAAGCTGAGGCAGAAACATCACGAGTTTGAGGCCAGACCTGGGCTACACAGCAAGACTCTGTTTCAAAAGCAATTTTTTTTCAAACATGTAATTATTTCACACAAATAATAAAGTAGAAATTCATTTTAAGTCTTGTTAAACTCACAGCATGTGATCAGTTGGTAGTTTCACAGTTCACTAGTTCTGAAAGTAATGTAAACCTTTTGACTCTAACAATATCTTCAAGGTTTCCATTTATGGTGGACTGGATAATCAGGTCTGTCCCTCCTGGAGGTCAAGAAAAACTACATCAACTATTTAAAAAACTCCGTGCACGATTTCATCTTCTTGGCTAAATGACTTTTGTGCCAGTGATACCAGAATCCTACAGCCATGTTCTCGCAGAGTTTGAGTCACTGGATCCATTACTCTCAGTCCTTCGGCTGGACTCCAGTCATCTAAAGTGCACGAGCATAGCTGTGTCTCGGAAATGGTTGGCACTGGGCAGTTCAGGAGGAGGGCTCAATCTCATTCAGAAAGAAGGCTGGAAGCACAGGCTTTTACTTTCACACGGGGAAGGTGCAATTTCTCAGATTTCCTGTTGTTCACCTGATGATGATTTTGTTGCTGTAGCTACCAGTTAAGGTCTTGTAGTTGTTTGGGAATTAAATCAAGAGCGTCGTGGGAAACCAGAACGAATATATGTGTCTTCAGAACACAAAGGCCGAAAAGTTACAGCTCTCTGTTGGGACACAACTATTCTTAGAGTTTTTGTAGGTGATCATGTGGGGAAAGTTTCTGCCATCAAACTCAACACTTCTAAACAAGCAAAGACAGCTGCTGCCTTTGTGATGTTTCCTGTTCAGACAATAACAACAGTTGACTCCTGTATTGTACAGTTAGATTATTTGGATGGAAGACTGCTTATATCTTCACTTACTCGATCCTTCTTGTGTGACACTGAGAGAGAAAAGTTTTGGAAAATTGGAAACAAGGAAAGAGATGGGGAATATGGAGCATGTTTCTTCCCTGGAAAATGTTCTGGGAGTCAGCAACCTCTGATATATTGTGCTCGTCCTGGCTCCAGGATATGGGAAGTGAACTTTGATGGGGAGGTTCTGAGTACACATCAGTTCAAGAAACTCCTCTCATTGCCACCTCTCCCTGTAATTACTCCAAGGTCAGAGCCTCAGTATGATCATATGGCTGGATCCACCCAATCTTTGTCATTCCCCAAACTTTTGCGTCTTAGTGAGCACTGTGTGCTGACTTGGACAGAAAAAGGAATCTATGTTTTCATTCCTCAGAATGTACAAGTTCTTCTTTGGAGTGAAGTGAAAGATATTCAGGATGTGGCTGTCTGCAAGAATGACACATCTGTCCTTGTTGTCAGTGGAGCGCTGTGTGGAACGCCTGCTAAGGAGAGGGCTGTGGGACCTGGCTGCTTGCACCTGCTGTCTATTCCAAAATTCTATCATTGCCAGCAGAGCAACAAAAACTTTGTCCGTAGATAAATTGGAGCATTTGAAATCTCAGCTGGACTTTGCAATCAATAGTGATCTAATTTCTAAACTGGATGAATTGATCTTAAAATTTGAACCTTTGGATTCAGCTTGCAGTAGTAGAAGAAGTTCTGTTTCATCACATGAAAGTTTTAGCATCTTGAACTCTGGTATTTATCGTATCATTAGTAGTAGAAGAGGCAGTCAGTCAGAGGAAGACTCTTGCTCCCTTCATAGCCAGACCTTCTCAGAAGATGAGAGACTTAAAGAATTCAGTTCCCATCAAGACGAGGCCCGGCCGGATCAGGGCTGTAGCCCACATGGCAGTGAAGACAATGTTTCTCATGGTCCAGTGACGTTCGAGACAGATAAGAATGAAACTTTTCTCCCCTTTGGCATTCCTTTTCTTATCATTTTCATTTCTCCATCTGCCTTTGTGTCTTCTTTCAAAGCTGGTTTCACAAGAAAGTGTTTCTAGGCTTTTGTGCGTTAAAACTTTACAGACGAAGATTTTTTGGCTACACTTCACACTCAAGCCTGAACTTTAAAAGAGAGACCGAACCCAGAATGACAAACAGTTCATGTTTTAGGTGAAGTTGAGTTTTGTCAGGTACGCTGCCAAAGGAAGAAGGACACCAAAGGAATAAGAAGAATCATGACACCTTATTCACCCTATGCACATCTTTCCCGTATATATCTCTTTCTCTAGATTCATCTCGCCTTTTACATTCATCTGCGCATAGCTGGCGCGCATTACCTACGGTCATGCAGCTCTAAATTCCCATTTTATCATATTTGATCTTTTAAACCTACCTCACAAAACCCCTGAGGTGGATCGGGGAACTAGTCAACTGCCAGAAGAAGACAGGTTCCAAGAGCTCACATTAGCAACAGTGGAAGCAATGACCAAGCTGCTGGACCCTCTGGTTTTATTTGAACCCAAGTCACAGTTAGAAGAATCATTTGCTATGAAGGACTTTGCAGGCATTTCAGATACTGGCAATTCACCAGTGAAATCAAACCAGGATGTGCTACTGCTTTGTGAGTCAAAAAAGGAAACAATAGATGAAGATAATGAAAAAGAAAAAAGGGACTCTTTAGGAATTGAAGAAACTCTTGGCCAAATAGCATGTGACTCTGTAAGTAGTCTGAGGGAGTCCTCAGGTGACTTTTTTCGAGTATGTTCTCCATACACCATAGCAAACAGTCTTCAGAAGGATCTGGCTCAATTGACAACATTGTGTTTGGAACTGAATGTATTGAATTCCACGATCCAAAGTACAAGTGAACATGTGGACCACGCATTACAACAGGTTTATTCTGAAATCCTGGCTTGTCAGTTCCTAAAGAAGTATTTTTTTCTTCTGGACTTGAAAAGAGCAAAAGAGAGTATCAAACTTAGTTATGCTAAGAGCCCTTGTGTTTGGGAGACTTTTATTAAAGGACTGAAAGAAATGGCAAGTTCCAATCCTTCATATATGGAGAGAAGGAGACCTACCCACGAGATTAAAGTTATTTGATGACTTGATTCTTTTTGATAGTCCTCTGTTGATTGCTTATGCTAGCCTTTTGTATGAGAAGTTTGGGGAACCTGCCCTTCAATCTTTAATCAGGATTTATCCATCTATTTTGCCTTCGGATATTATGCAGCTTTCTCATCATCAGCCTGCTCAGTTTTTGGCCTATTTAGACAGTCTGGTGAAATCAAGGCCTGAAGATCAGCGATCATCCTTCCTTGAGTCCCTTCTACAACCAGAATCTTTAAGATTGGATTGGCTGCTGTTGGCAGTGTCCCACAATGCTCCAGCAAGCACAAGCCTTATGGATGATGAAGGACACCCCAGGTCTCATTCACACTTGATTTCCTGGGGTTACAGTGAACTTATCCTTCATCTAATTAAACTTCCTGCAGATTTTACAACCAAAGAGAAAATGACTGACATCTGTAGGTCTTGTGGTTTTTGGCCTGGATATCTTACTCTCTGTTTGGAGCTGGAGAGGAGAAGAGAGGCCTTCACCAACATTGTGTGTCTGAATGATATGAGCCTGATGGAAGGGGACAATGGTTGGATTCCAGAGACTGTGGAGGAATGGAAGCTTCTCCTACATCTCATACAGAGCAAGAGCTCAAGGCTGGTCCCCCAGGAGTCACTAAATGGGAACCTCAGTGATGGGCCTTCCCCCATCAACGTGGAGAACATTGTGCTCCTGTTAGCTAAGGCCATGGGCCCAGATCAGGCCTGGTCCTTGCTACAGGAATCTGGTCTGGCCCTTGAGTTGTCAGAGAAGTTTACCAGAACCTGTGATATTCTGAGGATTGTGGAGAAAAGGCAGAGAGCCTTGATACAAAGCATGCTTGAAAAGTGTGATCGGTTTCTGTGGTCTCAGCAGGCCTGATGGAAGATTTAGCAGGATGTGATAACATTTAGGAAAAAATGTTCCTGAGCCTTCAGGATGCATTTGTTACTGAAGAAAAGGCACCACCCAGAAGCCCTGCCACCTTATCGGGGCTATAGTTATCAGTGTCTGTACCTTGGCATTTGTGGCTCTGTGACCTCAGCACCTCTCAATCAAAGTTGGATTTTGAGAGAAGTCAGCCCTTGCTTGCTGGAATCAGAATGTGGGTGTTTACAGCTGTGTAGTATTGATTCTGAACCACAGTGTTACTGCAGAATGATTGAGGATTGGGGCTCTTCTGTTGGGACCAGAAGTATTTTGTCACATGAACATAGATAATGTTATTAACTGGAGTTGAATTCTTTTTGTATTTTGTCTGGGGCAGTTTAGAAATTACTGAAATAGGACTGGGAATGTGGAATTGACATGTATAATGAAATACTAAAGATTCAAATTCAATATTTAAATGAAATTCCCCATATCTAAATTGAGCTAATTTATTTTTTTTCTTCAATTGACTAATTCATTACTGGAAATAGTTTCTGTAATCTTTTCCTAAACAGAGTAGCTCAAAGAATCATGCACTTTTAAAAATTATTTTTGAAATGCTATAACAAAAGAAAGCTAAGTATTAATAAAGAGTATAACAAGCGCTTGTGTTATTGGAAAAAAAAAACTATTTAAAAAATCTGCTTGAGGGCACTGGAGAGCTAACACCAGAGACAAGGAAATGCTGGAGGAGACCAAAGTCCAGAGTAATGATTCCCCCTTCTGCCCTGCAGCCCCTGGCTAAAATGTGAAAGATGGAGGAAGGCAGATTGTGTTTTTGACAGCCCTGTGGAGTTAGAGAGACCTCGGACCTTCCAAGGGCTGAAACCTGGCAAGTTGAGAGCCAGAAGAACCTGCTTGCACACAGACTTCACTGCATGTGCTCTGGGCAACTCAGAAACTTCTTGATCCCTGCACCTGAATTGAGAGGACTCAGTGCTCATGCCCTAAGAGCATAAAAAAGAGAAAAAAAAGATAATTTTTCAAGGCCTCAGACTATTTATACAAGAAAACAGTTCAAATACAATATTCGTAGAAGCAAAACTGAACGAGGCAAATGTTACGTGACACCAAAAATAAGAGACAGAAAAAATAATCAAGAAAAACATATTCATAGAGGCTCTGCATTTAGAATATTAAAACAAGACTTGAAAAATAAGTAACAGAAGCTCTAGAAGGGAAAAATACCTAAACTTATCTGCATAGAATAACTTAAATATAAAAGTAAAACTTTGTGAATGAGCTTAACAAAGGAAGAGTTTCCACTGAAGAAAGATCTGATGAGCTAGAAGACAGATTAGAAGAAACCATCCAGAAAAAAATGCATGGAGGTTGCAAAAAGGCCAGAAAAGACAGAGAAAGAGAAGACAAGAGAGGAAGTCAGAAGAGGACACAGAGAACATGGCATGCACAATCACTGAAGAAAATGATTGAGAATCTGTTAAAACTGACAAAAAAAAGTGTCAACCCATATATTCAAGAAGCCCCAAGAACCCAAACCAGGGTAAATACAAATATAAACTGCAGAAAATAAAGTAAAAAAGAAATGCCTTAATTCAGCCAAAGATACAACATAAATTGCATTCAGTTACTTACAATAAAACTTCTCAGCAGAGATTATGAAATCCCAAATATAATAAAATAGTGTCTTCAGTGCACTGCAATAAATAAAGCAATTGTCTTCCCAGAGCAACATTCAGACATTGGAAAAGAAGTGACCTATTTAATGAAGGATGTTTAAACTTGATACCAAAAACCAGACAAGGATATTATAAGAAAGTAAAATCAGCAGCCAATTTATCTCATGGATGTTGATATAGAAACAAGATATAATCAAATTGAATTCAGCTGTATATAAAAATATACTACAAACTGTTTGCATTTATCCAGCAATGCAAGATTTATTTCACATTAGGAACAAAGTCATAATACTTCACCACATTAACAGAATAAAGGGCTCAAAACATACAGAAAAAGTGTTATAAAATGCAACTTCCATTGATGACATTAAGAACAAACTTCTTAGCAACATAGAAGTAGGTTGAAGGGAAACCACAAGAGGATCTGTAGCATGTCTCTTACCCAAGAGTGGAATGTGGAAGGTTCTCCATTTGAAATAACGATCAGGACAAAGATATCTACTTAATCTCCATTAAATATTGTTCTAGAGCTTTTGGCCAGTACAATAAATCAAAGAAAGAAAAAGAGGCAGAGGGATTAAGAGAGAGAGAGAGAGAGAGAGAGCAGAGAGACAGAGAAAATGAACTGTTACCTGCAGATTCAATAGCTAGATAAGTAAAAAATGTGAATGAATGTGCAAATAAATGGTTAAAATCCGTAACTTGAGTTTAGCAAGGTTGCTGGGTCAATATTTTAAAAAGTCAGTTGTGTTTCTGTATGCCATTAAATTACTAAAAATAAAATTTGTGAGTAAAATATGAGATAAAATAGCATCAAAAATAACTAGGAAGTTGGGCACAGTTGTTCATTCCTATAAGCCTAGCTACTTGGGAGGCAGAGATCAGGAGGACTGCAGTTCCAGACTACCTGGGCAAAAAAGTTAGCTGGGCGCGTTGCTGCATGCCTATGGCCCCACTTACAGGGGCAGCATAGGTAGGAGGATCAGTCTGAGACTGGTCCTGAGCAAAAATGCTCAGTTACAGTTATATGTGAAAAATAACTAAAGTCAAAAGAGCTGGAGATCCAAGTGGTAGAGCACCTGTCTAGCAAATATGAGGCCCTGAGTTCAAATTCCAGTACCACCAAAAAGAAAAAAAGCTTAGGAATAAATCTAACAGGAAATGCATAAGACCTCCACCTCCAGACAGAAAGTTAAGTCATTAATGAGGGAATTAAAGAAGATACCAGGTACACAAAAGGAGATACCATGTTTATGGATTAGAGCATGTTAGAACCATGTTGATTCTCCTCAGATTGATTTAGATTCACTGCAATTCCAATAGTGACAACAAAAATTCCAGCAGGGTGTGAGCATGTGGATTTTCACAAACTGATCCCATAATTCTAAAAAAATATCAATAGTGAAGACAAGCTAAGATACTCTTTTTAAAAAGAAGGAAGGAAGGAGGAGGAAGGAATGAAAAAGAGAGAAAGAAAAGAAGAAAGAAAAAGAAAGAAAGAAGGTAGGCACTGGTGACTCACTCCTGTAATCCTAGCTACTTAGTAAGCAGAGATCAGGAGGATTGTGGTTCAAAGCCAGCCTGGGCAAATAGTTCCTGAGACCTTATCTCTAAAAAACCCATCACTAAAAAGGCTGGTGGAGTGGCTCAAGATAATAGAAAAAAAAAAAAAAAGAGGTGAGAGAATCTGCTCCATTAGCTATGGAGACATTGTGACATTCAAAGTGTGATATTAGTTCAAGGACAGAAAAAGAAAACCAGTGAAGCAGAACAGAGATATACAGCATGCATGTGTGGACACATGGTTTATGACAAAAACAGAATAAGGAGAGCAAGAGTGCTTTTTTTAACAAACAGTTCCAGAACAATTAGATATCCAGATGGGGAAAAATGAATCATGACCTCCACTTCACACCATATACAAATACGGATTCCAGGTGTGAAAGAGAGTAGTGAAGGCTCCAGAAGGTAGTACAGAAAAATAATTTAATGTTTTGGGGCTAGGGATACAAAAGCACTAACTTAAGGAAAGATTGACAAGGTAGACAATATTAAAATATTAATTTCAATTTAGTAAATGACACCATTGGGGGGGAGTGCACAGAGCTCAGGCACAGAATATATTTTAAAGGCCTACAAATTATTAAGAAAAAGATAAATACACCAATAGGGGCAAAGGGGAAAGGTAGGAATAGGCACCCAGGAAAGAGGAAATCCAACTGGCCAGCAAACAGAGACCCAGGGGTATCCAGAGAAACAGAAACAATAGGATCCATACACATAGACAGGAACAGATTTATTTTAAAGAATTAGCTCACAGTATTGTGGGAGTGGTAGCAAGTCTGAAATCTGTAAGGAATGCTGGCAGGCTGGAGACCCTGGGGAAAGCTGATGTTTCAGCCTTGAGTCTGAGGGAATCTGGAAATTAAATTCCTTTCTCTCTGGATGATCTCAGGCTTTGCTTTTAGGGCCTTCAACTAATTGTACGTGGCCCACCTCATAAACCAAGGTAGTCTGCTTTAATGCAAGCCTGCTCATTTAGTTGCTGATTACATGGCAACACCTAGTTTGTGTTTGACCAAAGAACTGGAGACCATAGCCTACCTTGACAATTTTACATACAAAATTAGCCATCACTTTGAAGCTCCCCAGTAATGGAATGACTCACAGGAGATTCACTAGGCTGAGTGTGTATCAATAGTTCAGTCCATTTTGTTGCTGAATAGTACTATGTGGTATGATACTCTTTAATTTGTTTGAACTCAGTGTTTTGTGCTTGCTAGGCAAGTGCTCTACCACTTGAGCCATACCCCAGCCCTATCTCTTGATTTTTGAGACAGACTCTTGAGATGTGGCCCAGGCTGGCCTTAAACCCGTGATTCTAGCTGCCTCTGCCTTCCAAGTACTGGGACTACAAGGCATGCACAATTATACCTGTCTGAGCTAATTTATTTTTTGGCAGTACTGGAGATTAAACTCAGGGTTTCTGGCGTACAAAACAGTCACTCTACCACTTGAGCCATGCCCCCAGGCCTTTTTCACTTTAGTTATTTTTCAGGCAGTGTCTTGCATTTGCCTGGGTCCAGCCTTGAATCATGATACTCCTTCCTATGGCCTCCCAAATAGTTGCCATGACAGGCGTGTGCCACCACACACAGCTTATTGATTGAGTTGGGGGTCTCACTAACTTTTTGCCCAGGCCAGCCTTAATCCATGGTTCTCCCAATCTCTGCCTCCTGAGTAGCTGTGATTATAGGAGTGAGCCATTGTGCTGGTTCTGGTTCAGTTAATTTCTGGTTAAGGTTTAAGACTTAGGTCAAGGCTCATTTTTGCCTACCAATGTCCAGTTTCTCTCGAGCCATTCATTGAAAAGGCTTTCCTTCCTGTATGGAACTGCTTTCACATTTTTGACAAAAGTTAATTGAGCGTGTTTGTATGGGTCTGATTTGGGGCTTTTGACTCTGCTATATTTATCTATGTCTGTCCCTCTATCCATACTACACTCCCTTGATCACTATAGCTGTATAGTAAGATAAGTTGATTCCTCCTGGCTTATTCTTCTTTTGCAAGATTATTTTAGCTACTCTAGTATCTGTTCCCCTACATATAAATTTTGGAACAATGGAGTAATCTTGGCTATGTCTGGAAAAGAACTTGTTGGGATCTTAGGAGGCATTGCATTAAACTTACTGAGCAATGTGGGGAAAGCCAACATCCTTACGTTCAGTCAGTGAACCATGAACATGGTATATCTCTACATTTAGTTGATCATCTTGGGCTTCTTTCATCAGCCTTTCATAATTTCAGCATGCAGACTCTATATATTTTATTAGGTTTGGGACTGTTGTAAATAGTTTTGAGTTTTGAAATATTCATTGTAATATA